TCCCCTGTACTTGATGAACACTCTGTTTCGTAAAACTCACTCATTTTCCCCGATACCCCTCAAATTTCATTTTCTTATAGTAATATACAATTCATTCGAAACCAGAAAGGAATCAATTGATTTCGGCAGATGTAATGCCGTTGTGCAGGGGGGCGTGGAGTCAGCCCGCCTCTGCCACCACTGTAACTCCGCAAGTAGGGGGGCGTGGAGTGATCCCTCCTCGCCTCCACGTGTAACGCCGCGCCGTTGGTACCACTTGTAACGTCGTGACGACGGGGTGTGCAGGTACCCCTCCTTGCCTCCACAGCTTCCTCTGTATGGAGTTAACACCATCCTCCTAGCTGCCCCTTAGCTAGGATTCTCCTGTTTCGGGGTCTCCTTCTCTCATACAAGCTGCCACCATCAATTACATGCCCTTTCGATCGTGGGCACCACTCCCTGGCAGATAGTCATAGCTCCTTCGTGACCACTCCTCCCGTAGTTTACAGGTAGTTACATGTAACTCCTTCTATCTGAGGATACCGCTAACCTCTCTGGCCCTGTTTGTCTTTCTTGCCTTCGGCTGCTACTGCGGCCTGTGTCAGTTCAGCCCTCGCTTGGTCAGGATTGCTTGGGATTGGAGGTGGGCCAGTTGATTATAGATGTGAATCACAATCCCGGCACATCCTACTCTATCTACTCTATCTATTTACACTTTTGTATTTACATTATTAAACAAGGCCGACCTTCAGTCGGGACTACATAGTGAATTGACTTGCGGCCACGCTAGGAACCTCCCCCTTCGGGGGTGTAAAATTGGAGTCTCTCTCTCTCTTTTCGACTCCTGATTATCGGCAAGGATTAATCTTTCCACGTAATCCTGTTCGTTACTACTCATTATATACAGTTACACTGTCCTTCCTTCTTTCTCTCTTATACAAGCTACCCCGAGTTATTCATATTGAAACCCGCATACTATATCTATCACTACATGCTAACCATAACCTTGACACCTACACTATAAGTCACTTATTACCTGACTAATATCCGAGGCAATTACATGATCCTAGTATCCTACCCTAAGGGCTCACCGGGTACACTGGAGTTTGCACATTAAAATAACTCAACAACACTGTTATCACCCATACTATTAAACAACAATATTATTGATCAGCATGGCTGTTATGCGTAAATAAACTTACTTGTAGTACAAGATGCCGGCCCACGGCCTCCGCTGGTAATGCCCATGTTGAAGAGAGCCTTCGGCTGACAACCGAATATTATGTGTTAGAACATGATCCAAGTCCCCCGAAATTCCCTAATTTATAGTTTTAATTCGCTGATTCGGCATTGACGACAGAGGGTAGGTACTCCTACCCGGTGTCCTCAATCCTCATAGTAACATTCTCATTGGTTCTCATGGGTGGTTGTGGGCGGACCCCTTGCGTCTTATTGCTGTGTATGCGGTCTCTTACGATTACTCCAGTGACCGAGTGAGGCAATCTTCTTGCTCTGCGAGTACACAGACTTGCTGAGCATCCACATTCTTAACCTATTTGCCAGTCCTGGTGTTTACAATTTACTGTAATAACTGCGAAACGCTTTTCGCAAGTCGCGAACATTTTGGGTAATGCCTCACGCTCTCCAATCTCAATTTTGAGACACTACAGTAGATGATACTGGAAATAGAATGGAAATGTTACATTTTTGGTTTCCATTCGTTTTATCAGAAGTGCTTGTACCAGTGGTAATTGTCAACCCTACTAAGAGGGCGAAATATGTATGTAGTTACGCAATTGCAACTCTTATAGATTTTATTTCCATGTGTGTGTGTAATTTTCAGATGTCACACATCTTCTGATTTCTTCTAGTTGACATACTTAAAATCAATATTCTAACTCGTGGCATTACTGTCGTTGAATTGAATAGTACACTAATTATTCATACGGTTCTGTTCGTGACGAAATCACGCGAAATGACTGTCTCAGTTTCAAGCCGTCATTACTTGTTGTAGCTATCTGGCACACAACAACCCAACAACAAGTTGCAACTCTATGTACGACTAGACAAAATTATCGCTATGAAAGTAAGTGCACGCTCTTATCTCCTATCCAACACTTATATGTTTCAAGAATCTGGTCTAATAAGCATTTTCGTTGAAAATAACGACACCTGACAACAGCGAGGCTACTGCTGACAAATTCACTTCCTAACAGAAATAATAGTATCTACAGCCAGCGCCTTCAGCGTTTTATCGTTGCTCTGAGTTGCCAGAATTTCACTAAATATCATTAAGACCTTATTACACAGAGAAGTAACATATAACGGAAAAATTTCATCGTTTAATATCTGAAGATTGTTATTTGTATATTTAAAGAAAGTTTCTCAACTGCAGAAGTCATACAGAATCGATTACTAGGATGAAGACAGTAACATATGGTCGCGAGTCCCAAGGGACCCGGACCGGAGAAAGACTGCGCTGACAAGGACCAGCAGCATATACAAAAGACAGACCCGTCCACCCGTTAGAGAGGGCGCCCCACAAAACAAGTCTGTAACTGTCAAACAGTAATAAATATCTGGTCATTAGCCCCAGATGGGGCTTGACACCAAGACTTACTGACTGACTGACAGTCGCAATGTAACTTTGACTTTGACAGGGCGGAAATCGGATCAGTGATCAGAGAGAGAAGCAAGAGGAGAGCCGAGAGAAGCAAGAGGAGAGTCAACAGAAGCAACAGGAGAGCTGACAGAAGCAAGAGGAGAGTCAACAGAAGCAACAGGAGAGCCGACAGAAGCAAGAGCAAAGCAGACAGAAGCAAGAGGAGAGCCGACAGAAGCAAGAGGAGCGCCGACAGAAGCAAGAGGAGAGCCGACAGAAGCCTTCGTGTGGCGTAGTTACAGTGAATATTAGAATGTGATCATTGTTCGCAGTTACGAAATGTTATAATTATCGTGTATAATAATTGTCTGTAACTCCTCCTGGAGTAATTCTGCAATAAACAGCTTCGTCTAAGTCGCGACCCAGTAATTACTTGTATTTGTCAAGGATACCTGGATATGTGACAGTAAAGACAAAATTTGCAGACATAACTAATCAATATTAGTGATGTCATATTTCTCGGAGTTATTCAGTTTATTAATTGACACTAGGTGCATTATGTTTCTTGTTGTGTGGAATAGCAGGGCAACGAGATCCAAAGTCTCTCACTTATTGGATTTTCTGAATATTTATAAACATTTTGGTAGGACTCTCTACTCTGGATATCATAGTAACACAGGCATATATTCGTTCTCGACATGAGATTCGAATCCACGATTGCGGCCGTCGAGTTGTAGAAGATGGTACTCCCATAGATCGCGTAGCGACTGTGGTGGACTTACTAAACTCGTACTGTACAGAAGAATATTTCTTTTTTGTAATATTTGAGGTTCTAACTGCAGCGACCACGAAAGATGTCTGCTGTCTTTTGGAATATAATAGATGTTTATCGATATTTCGGAAAAACGTACTGCCTCCATCTGCAGGTAGAAGAGTAAAGCAACACGCAAGTTGAGTATTTACTCTGCTTTCTACTTGCTTGACATAATCTTCGACACTATGGTTCTAGATAGTATGTAGTTATTTGTCAACTTTTTTCTTTTCGCTTTGCCCTACAGTGAACACTCACTTCTCAGTCACGATGCTACAAGAACCGCCATTCAAAAGATATCTGTTCATCGTTCATTTCTACTCAGTGGATTTTATTGTTACTGAAATTTCATTTCAGAAGAAAACTTAAATTTCGGTCGGTTTATTGCTAGTTCTAACAAACTCTTCAAAAAAAAAACTCCGTGGCCTGTAGTCCGCAAGTGAAATATACCGACCGAGCGACCGCCACTTGTTGGCGAAGTTAGTGCAAAATTTTGTGGATAGAGGGTGTCGCGTCGTCAGCGAAACGGATCCCTATGACCGTTAATCTCGGTTTTCTAGACCGGAACAAAATTATTAGTACATGTAATTTCATTTCATGATGATTACATCCATCCGACTTATTCTGCAAAATATGTGTCAGGAGCACAGCATTTACAGAAACATTTTCATGTGAGAGTCTCTGCTTCATCCACAGTACTATACAATTTAAGTGACGTCGTTTTATTCGCCTAGGAACAAGAAAGTTTTCTTTCGTCTTGTGGTCTAAAGTAAGGGAATATTTAATTGTATATTGATCTCATATTTTAATCACAAACAATTATCTTAATGATATCTTCATAATCATCTATTAAAGGCATATATATTGTCACGTGTTGGGATATAACGCGACAAATAACTTCAAGCTTTATTGGATATAGTGAATTTTATTGCACATTCGCTCTTACAATCACAAAATTCACAGTTTCACAATTGCTGCTATCTGCAGAATTACAATTACTCGTACTACACTGCAAATGCTAGACTACCACTGACTGTTTGACTGCCTGGCTAACTCGTAACTCACTCGAGAACTAGTAACTTCTGCCTTGAGAACTAACTTGAATACTGACTGTCTTGAATAGTCTTCGCTGCTCCTTATTTAGCCCCGTTCCGGACAACACAGAAGACAGCCACGTCATAGGCACCACTGTTGTCTGCCGCCGTGGTGCTAGCAACGCTGTGTACAGCTGTTATTATCGTCGTCTCTCGCAACCACTCTTTAACCGCTTTGCCTAGCAACCGCTGTTTACTCGCTTTGCATAGCGACCAGTGTGCTGGGACTCGGCTCACTTCGGCTCCGCTCGGCACGTCATGGCTGGCGGGGTGGGAGGGGCGTCATCCATAGCGCAACACGTCACACTATTTTGCGGTAAATCTATATAAAGAAGAAATATTAGCTACCGGTACAAAATAATTTTTCGAATGACACCAAGAGATCTAGGAAAGATCGATAACCTAAAGCTAACAATAAGAATATGAATGTCAGAATTGGAAGATGCATGTTGTTAATATTGTCTCATCTTCTTCCTAGGTAATACGGATACTACTACTGCTGTTGACAATCAGAATGCAGGTCCTTGGATCCTTGCACTCGCACGCCGTTAATCATCTCGGTCAGCATGCGGTAGACTGCGTCCCAGATATAAGCGAGAAATATTTTGAAAATGGTCGCACCTTGGTAGTGTCTCTGTCAGCAAATAATATGAGTAAGCAAGACGAAGAAATCGACGCGATGGCAGAATCTGTTCAGTTAGACATGCTAGCACAAATGAATACTGGTGACGCCTTGCTGCGGCGCCTGCATTTGGCACTTCGCTGGCCGATTGCGGTGTACTGCACCGCGGAAGAAGTCATAAAACGCGACCCTCGTGACTGGGATACGAGGAACAGTGACAAACACGGTAGCTACGTTTTGTTCGTGAGGCACCAGAACGGAATACTGAATACAGTAAACAAACACATGCAACAACTGGAGTCTCTCTCCGCCTGGAACTCAAGAGCAAATTTCGTTGTGGTTGTGGACGATTATTACACCGAAGATAAAGACCAAATGTTGAAGGACATCTTCAAAGAATGTTGGAAGTGGAACGTCTTTAACTTGGTCATTCTACTGCCCGTGACACGTACAAGCACTTACACATCCGTTGGTGTTTATACCTGGTATCCGTACAGATTACCGTTTGGACGATGTGGTGAATTGCATCAAGTTTTTCACATGAACACCTGTCTGTCCACAGCCAGCAAGAAGGGCCGTTATCTAAACAATTCTCCCATTTTTGATCAAAAAATTCCCAACAATCTAAACGGCTGCCCATTTAGAGTTGCCACACTAAAATTTCATCCATTCATTATTTATGACAATTACACACTTGACGGTTCGGAAATCAGGTTGATATCAAACTTAGCAGATAAGATGAATGTTAGCTTAAAGCTTAGAGTATCATTGAGCTCTGAGCGGAAAGGCCAGCAGCTTTCAAATGGAACCTGGACCGGGTTGAGGGGTGAACTAATTTATGGTTCGTCCGACATGATATTTGGGCATATACTGACAAACCTAGATGACCATCTTCTGTTTGATGACACAATTGTTTATTCTTCAGATAAATTTACATGGTTTATTGCGCGGGCAGATGCATATCCCAGATGGTTAAGTATGGCTCGGGTGTTCACCCCCAAACTATGGATCGTTTTGCTGATTAGTATACCAGTTGCTGCTTTTGTTATGAAATGGCTTTCACGTAAGAGAAGTGTTGAACTGTGGAGTTATGCCAAAAGTGTTTTCGCTTTCTGGGCAGCTCTCCTCTGTATAGGTGCCGATATGCCATACAGCACTCCACTGCGCATTTTCTTCCTCTCTTGGGTAATGTTCTCCCTCGCCGTGAACACTGTTTTCCAAACTTATGTCACAAGCTACCTCGTGGACCCGGGGCTGCAGCATCAGATCGACAGTGCTGAAGAACTTTATGGGTCCAACTCAGTATTTGCATTCCCTGGCACAATAGACAAGTTTTTCACAAAACAATTTTTAGACAATCTGAAACCAAGGATTAGAGCTGATCCTGTGGTATGCCTCGATTATGTAGCTAACAAAGACAACTTCGCTACAGTTGCAGGCAGAAAGCTTGTGGAGTATTTCTCCGAAGATCTGGCAAAACGCGGATCTAAGCACGAAATATTCCGGTTTCGGGAGGATCTCTTTCAGCTCAGTACTGTGATGCTTCTCCCAAAAGGAAATCCACTTCACGAGCTTGTTAATAAGATCCTGTTCCGCACATGCGAAGCAGGATTAGTTGACAAATTTTATAAGGACATCATAATTGAAAACCAGATAAAAGCTGGGATTATAGAAATATCAGCTCTCATAGACGAATATATTCCTCTTTCTCTGTCCCACCTACAAGCTTCTTTCTTATTTCTTTTCCTTGGTCTTGGAATAAGTTCAGTTGTTCTGCTGCTGGAGAAGAGTCTGCGACGTAAATAATTTACTGATATGTCTCGATTTAAACTTCCAACACAAAGTAAGCTATCAGACAGAGACCGTCTCATAAATTAACCGAATAAAGAGGGGCTCATAATTTATGCATTTTTGCTTCTAAAATTGAAATGTTCTGGTATATTAGTATTAATTGTCACGTATCATGTTCTGCTACAGTCATAAACTTACGTAGCACAGGATATGTCTTCTCTCACTACCGCCACATTCTCGTGTGTACGTACTCTTTTTACGCTACAACCTTTCTTCTTTAGTGTAGAACCAGTAGCCTCAAAGTTTTGAACTCAGGTCTTAATGGCATGGCAGATGGAACAGCACGATTGCGATGAATACCAAACTCTCTTCGAAATGCACGCTGAGCGATCTCGAAACTCTCACCGTTTTTTGTAAAACGCTTTCATATAGAAAGCACCTTATGCTCCAGTCCACGGCTCCATTGCAACTAAAACACTTTGAAGTAAGCTGCTGGATGGCAGTAGTGGCACCCTCCCCACTCCAACAATCCTTTGAAAACACTGCCGCCAAATCGCCCGATTCATTGACGCACTCTGTACAATGCGAACAAAACTGTCTATCCACATTTTCGATTCCAACTGTACGTACTTGCGTTAATATGTGATAAACATTGCAGATTCATTCTTCTAGTAAATTAACTGGCTATACTATGTGACACGCTGTTGCGCAATGCAGTATTTTCAAATAAAAACAAGAATTTTCTTTTCTTGCTCATTGTCAGTCGTGTTGGAAGAGTTACACTATTTCATCAACGAAATGGAATCGTTGATGGGGAAACACGGGTAAGTGGCCTATTTCGTCTAAACAATAATGACCTCAAGTTCTGTGCTCTGAGGCGTGTAATATTCAAGGATTAATAGGCGCAAATAATAACTCTTTGGAGCAAAACGATGAAACAAAATGGTTAACATGATATTTACGGAACATGTATCATGGGGAACTGTGTAGACTTCGTGAATTATTGCTGGCAACCCTCACCATTTCTTCCCATCATTTCACGCCTCTTCCGACGCTGCACCGACATCCACAAGTTATCTTGCCCAATACAGAAGTGACAGGACTCGTTATACCTCATTCCACGCAGCTCACACCCTCTCTCTCCAGTACCAATACACTCCGTGCCAACCCAACCCATATAGCCTTATCCCTATCTATCCGTTTATCTGTAACACAGCCGTCCAGTTCCGATCCATTCTATCCTACCGCGTTGTAAACCAACTAATTACATTCCATTTCACATAAACTGTAGCAGCAGTTCCAGTCCCAGCTAGTACACTGACTCTTTTTTTTTTATTGCTAGTGGGGTGGGACTAAGTCCCTTGTACTACGGCCACTTCTGGCCTATTGTACCAGCCCCAGATGATAGGTGAGGGTGATTGTGGAGCAATTGGTGGAATGAAGATTGGCAGGGGAAACCGAAGTACTCGGAGAAAACCTGCCCCAGCGCCACTTTGTCCACCACAAATCCCACTTGACCATACCCGGGATCGAACCCGGGCCGCCGTGGTGGGAAGCTAGCGACTAACCGCTTGAGCTATGGCGCGGCCCAACGGTGATTCTTCCTACAGTACTCCAGTGTGTCATGTGCTTGAATTATGATAACTCACTTACTAAAGTACCCGGCAATTGATAAATGGCTGGGTTTCGATTCTTGAAATGTGCAAGTATGCTCCACTACGCCGCCATGAACAGGGGCCTACCCAGCCTTTTATCCAAACAATATAGGGGGTAAATTTGCCAGAATATGAAGCTGACATATCTCGCCCATCTGAAACGAAAATATATGGTAATTACAGCCCAACCTCCATATCCCCTATACACCTTCATAACTGTGCAAAGACACAGGAACAACTTTTACTTTCATATAATAACGAACTATTTCAAGAGGCAGGGAACTGTCATTAGTATGAACTCTTGCGTGTCGGTTTTTAAATGCCATTTCTGAGTGACATCTGTTCAATGACGATATAATCTGTCCCTTTCCAAACGTGTTTTATATTACAGGGCACGCAATCTTCGTCATGCCTCTTCCTATATTCATTCATGCAGCTATGATGGGAGGACTTTCATATAGTAGTTAATATTTACGCAACTGCATGTAGTTCACGAAAACACGAAGACTTGTGTTCTCATGTCCATAGGCATCCCTCCCACAAATAACTTCTGATTTTTCAGAAGTTGGAATGCCTCGTTTACGGTGGGAATATGGATGCGTCATCGACAGGTTAGTGACGTAACCGACACGTCATCATTATAAATTCTCATTTCAACGTAATTATGGCACTTTTACGTCAATGGGAAATGGACAGGTCCTCTCCTCTTTAAAGTTGCCCACACGAGTAATGACGTACCCTGGTTCGTAGAGCAGATGGCCTTTATGAAACTCGAGTTACTTGGCTCCTGAAATATACATCATAAAAAATACCATGATTGCCTTGTGAACTTTCCAGTTGGTATTGACATTAGAGGCGTTCAGTGCCGTGTCCTAAATTCTGAACAACACAATAAATAACATAGGTAACGTACGTCTGATAATATGCCATGAATATAAAAATGAAGAATATATAAATTTTACATGAAACATTTTTGTGTCAAAATTTCTACTACACCGGTATTGAACGCGGACCTCCGCGGCGAGAAGCCGTGGACCAACAGACTGACAATGGCACGGCCTATCCCATCATTACGTTTTTTTTTTTTTTCGCTTAGTGGGTGGTGGAGTCCAACTGGGTCCACTCGGAACGGTGGCCACTGATTGGCCTATTGTAGCCTGCCCCGGGTTATTATGATGATGAAGAATTTGGTCGGATGAAGATTGGCAGGGAAAACCGAAGTACTCGGAGAAAACCCGCCCCAGCGCCACTTTATTCACCACAAATCCCACTTGACCAGACCCGGGATCAGTGGCGTGCCGTGCATAGAAGCAAGGGAAGCATGCTTTAGTAGTTAAGAAACGAAAAGAAAAGAAGTCATATATAAGTAATTAAATTTGGATAATAAGGATGTGAATATTGGCATTTAGCTCGTGTTCCTGCTCAAGGCCACATGCCGCCTTCTCCTCCCTTCCCCTACTTGTGGGACGGACCAAGTTTCCTTTCGTTAATCTCCGTACGAATTCGTCCCATCCGAAGTGGCCAACGGAAGAAAACTTCGGTTTGCTGGCTAGAGCGAAGGAATATATTCTTTCGATGATTATATGACAATTGACTTTTTATGTGTGATTTCAGTCTTGTTGGGTGTTATAGGTAACATTAAGTTTTATTAAAATATTGTAAGTGCATATTTATATGGCGTAAGATTGTATTTGTGGTCGTATTTTGACTCATCAGAAAGAAGCAATCCGCGTTTAAGGGAAGCAAGTCTGATATTGCGGTACAAGGGGCAGGGGCGTGATTAGCCTACACGCACAGGTCACAGCTAAAATGATTGTTGGCAGACAACGCGACTGCGACTGTGCAATCGAAAGCCTTCTAAAAGGGAGACTTTGCTGAAAAGAAAATAATTATAGAAAGAAAACGACCGACATGGGAGTTGCCAGAACTTAAAGCAGAAACCAAATTATGTGTGAGCAAATTTAATTTGGAACAGAACTGTCATCACTATCACCGCCAACATGGAAGACGAATTCCCGTCCTGCGTCCAAAAGGCCTTCCCGTGCCATTAATTGTTGCTCAATGTTCCTTACATGTTGGCAACTACGTTGCCATTCTTCTGCAGTTATGGAAGCCAATTTTTGGTCTGCCAGCTTAATGACGTCATCCATCTTAAATGTGGTATTGTTTTGAGCAATCCAATTTTTTACGGTGGCCCATATTAACTCAATTGTGTTGAGTTCTGGGTGATACGGAGGGAGTCGTAAAATATTGTGATTGTGTTCTGCAAAGATTCCATCTGTTTAATAGGAAAGGTATTTCGGTTTGTGTGGTAGGATCATATTATATATGTCTGGATCCCGCAATGATGAAAAATCAGTGTTATTGAAGGTAATAGGTGGAAGGTGATATTTTAGCCAGGATATCATAAAATCTCTTCTTGAATTTTAGTTAAGGGCTCTGTTTAGTTGTACATTATGGTAAGGAGCATTATCAATGACAAGGACAGAATTTGGGGGAAGGTTAGGAATAAGTAGCTCGTTTAACCATTTTTCATAATTGGTGTAGTTCATGTCACTGTGGTAGTCTCCTGTTTTTTAGTGCGATTTGAAGCGGACATAGGAATTAGGGATGAAACCTTGCTCTCCCCTTGCATAGATAACAATGAGCCGTTGGCCTTTGGACACAGGCGAAAATATTTCCTGGATGGTTCCATCACTCCATGCATATGGGGTGGTGTGCGATGAATGAATATAGGTTTCATCCATGTAGATGATTGGGCGGTCCTCTTCCCTATATTCTTTAATTTGCCGAAAATACTGAAAACGATTGGCTCTGATATTATATTGTTCCACCAGTATAGGCCGATCATTTTTTGTTTTCTTCCAGCGGAACCCCAGTTTCAAAATAATTTTCTTTAATGTGGAGATGCATCCCTGAAAATCTAACGTTTTCTTCAACTTTTCGTGAACTTTTTCATGGTAGGTCTCCGTTTTTCGACTATGTAGAAGTCATTAATTGTTCTTCGCACCACAGACTCGTTAAAGTCGTCCAAAGTGGCTAGTGGAGATTTCCTAGGTCTTTCTGTATGGGGTGTCGAAAAGGAAGTGGAAGCCCCAGATTCGATATTTTTTGTTTCTCTTGTTATTCTTCTGACACTACTTTCCGATGCACCTGTTGCCTTTGCTACTTCCATTCCTATGTTCTTCACTGTAATTGTTGGCCCAGCCTTTTTCATATACTTGTGGAAACTGCCCACAATCAAGCAAATGTGACAACGCAAGTATCATTGCTTAGCAACAGCTGTTTACTCGCTTTGCCTAGTAACCGCTTGACTGTGGGCAGTTCCCACATACTTATATACGTACATTACTAACAGTT